CCTCGATCCAGAGATCCATCGAGGATCGAGCCTCGACGGAGTTGCGCTCGATGTTTCGCTCGAGGGGGGGCCGACGAAGCCTCTCGGGAAACCTCTCGGAAAGCTCGAGGGAACGGGCCTTGATCGCCGCTCGCTCCTCGATGAGGCCTCGGTTCGAGAGTCCAAGGTTCTCGGGCCAGGGATCCGAGATCTCGTGATCTCGGATCAACGGTGGCCCGAGGCTGTCGGAGCCTCGATCCGAAGATCGATCGAGGATCGAGCCTCGACGAAGGGATCTCAGACGAGGTGACCTTTAGACAGAGGCTCGATCCTCGATCGACTCTCGGATCGAGAGTCCAAGGTTCTCGGGCCAGGGATCCGAGATCTGGTGATCTCGGGTCAACGATGGCCCGAGGCTCTCGGAGCCTCGATCCGGAGATCGATCGAGGATCGAGCCTCGACGGAGTTGCGCTCGATGTTACGCTCGAGAGGGGGCCGACGAAGCCTCTCGGGAAACCTCTCGGAAAGCTCGAGGGAACGGGCCTTGATCGCCGCTCGCTCCTCGATGAGGCCTCGATGAAGCCTCGCGCTGGGCCTACTCGGCTCAAACCTCCACCTCGATCTTCTCGAACTCTTGCTTGCCCGTCTTCTCCACCTTCATCTCCTCGTACTCGTTGTTGATCTTGGTGAAATTCGGGAAGCTAGTACACATCGAAGAACATCTTCTGATGCTCGAGCTTCCTCTTCTCCTCGGTGTCCTCGTCGCGCTTGAGGCGCTTGGCGGCGGTGTACTTGTGCACGTCGAGCTCGAAAGCCTTCTTGGCCACCTTGCTGACTTGCCAGCGCCGCGCCACGATGGCGTTCGTGGTGCAGATGCGCTCGCTGGCGTCGCCCTCGAGGCAACACCGCTTGAACGCGTCGAAGTAGTCCTTGGCCTTCTTGGGCAGGATTGCTACCGACTCGAGCTGCTCCTTGCCCTTCTCGGCGCTGGCCCTCGGCAAGACAGGCTTGAATTGCATGTTCACTGGAAGCATCACCTCGTGCAGCGCTTGCAGATCTTGGGGGGTCTCGCCGAGGGCCTGCTTGACAACCTTGGTCGCGGCTCCCTCGGGCATCATCTCGGCCTCGTCGCCGAGGAGCGCGTCGTGCGTTTTGGCCTCGTCGAGCAACTCCGCTCGGAAGCTCGGCAGCATCCTGAACAACTTCTCGACGTTCGTGTCTTGGTCGTCGAAGCCGTCGAACATCTCGGTGCCCCCCTCGATGTGCGTCTTGTTGATGATTGCTCAGAGCAGCTCGCCGCGCCTCTTGTCCTTGCCGTGGAAGATGCCTTTGTACTGGATGCCCTCGAGGCTCCCCGTCTTGAGGGCGCTCGCGAGGACGGCGTTCTTGATGTTCTTGTGCCGCAGCGCGGAGCCGCCTCGGCAGTAAAAGCTCGTCATCCTCGAAGCGTCGGTAGCCTCGCCGCTCGATTGGCGCTGCCTCATCTCGGCGCAGCCTGCCTTCTCGGCGATGTACTCGAGTGTCTTGTTCTGCACCTCGATGGCCTCGTTCTGCTTCTCGAGCAGCTTGGACATCTGCTCCAAAACCTTGTTGTTTTGCCTGAGCAGCTCGATGGCGTGGCTGTCCCCCGCGAGCTGGGGGCTCGACGCCTTGGGCGACGCCAAAGCTCGGGAAGCTGACGCTCGAAAGCTTCGGAAGCTCGAGAGGCTCGAAAGCTCGGAAGCTCGAAGCGCTCGAGCCAGAACGGTTGCGGGCGGGAGCAGGAGACTAGCTCGTTTCGCTGGGTACATCCTCGAAAACGTGCTCGTTTCGCTTGAAACATCCTCGAACCAATCTCTCGTTTCGCTTGAGACAACCTCGACAAATCTTTCATCTCGCTGGAGACATCCTCGAGCAATTGCTTGTTTCGCTTGAGACACCCTCGAACACAATTTGTCGTTTCGCTCGAGACCTCCTCGACAAATCTCTCGTTTCGCGTGAGAAATCCTCGAGTCTATGCTTGTATCGCTTGAGACATCCTTAAGAAACGTACTGTTTCGCTTGAGACGGCCTTCAGTGTGCTTGTTTCGCTGGAGACCTCCTCGAATGTATGCTTGTTTCGCTTGAGACATCCTCGACAACGTGCTCGCTTCGCTGGATACATCATCGAAAACGTGCTCGTTTCGCTGGAGACATCCTCGAACAAATCTCTCGTTTCGTTTGAAACATCCTCGACAAATCTCTCGTTTCGCTTGAGACATCCTCGAGTATATGCTTGTTTCGCTTGAGACATCCTCGACAAGTTTTCGCTTCGTTTGAGACATCCTCAAATATTTGCTGGTTCCGCTTGAGACATCCTTGAACTATTGATCGTTTGGTTTCAGGTTGCCTCCCAAAATTATTGGTTTCGCTTGAGACATTCTGAAAAAAACGTGCTCGCTTCGCTTGCCTCGATGGCGAACTTTGCCCGTGATAATGAAGTTCGGCCCTCGCGCCCCAGCGCCCCCGACCAAACTCTTATTGGTCGACGATAAAACATTCTAACGACTTAAGGGGGGGGTGCGTTATTATCGTGGGCATGGGGTTATTCGACTACATGTGCGGCGTTGGCAAATGCTGCGACGAGTGCGGCGCCGGCGAATTCTACGTCATGCTTCTTCAAGACAATGGTGAGATTATATGCCGAATGCCTCATGAGTCCGCCCCGAAATATCCTTGCCCGAGTTCCCCGCCCCTGCCTGACTGGGTCGCGTACGTGCAGATTGCGGTGGTGGAGCGCCGCGCCGTATTGCTTCGCAGCGACGGCTCAGCCGCTGTTTGTGGCTGGGGCCGATGCTGCGACGAGAACCTCGTCCCCGGGCCCGCGGCTGGGGCGGTTTACGTGCAGGTGCCGCGAGCGAGTGCCACTGCGTCTTTCTCTGGGACAACGGCACCTTCGAGACGACTGGCTCGAAGGACAAGCGCCCGCGCGCGGCCCCTGATCTGCCGAGGGCCCTTTGGCGTGCACAAGTCGCCGCTGGAGGCAGGGGGGGGGGGGGGCGAGTGCCGCGCTGCACTTTCGCGAAGTGATGGGGCCGTTCTAGCCGTTGGCGCAAACAGCAGCGGCCAGTGCGACATTCCCGTCGTGCAGGCGGAGCTCTTCTACGCGCAGGTCGCCGCTGCGGCGGGTCGAACTGTGATGATCAGAAGCGACGGTGCCGCGGTGGCGCGCGGCAGGGATGAGTGGGGCGGCATGCGCCCGGTGCTGGAACTGCCAGAAGGGCGTAGCTATGTGCAGGTGGCAGCGAGCGACCATCGCACTGTGCTGCTCAGGAGCGATGTCGCGGCTTTTGCAAGCGGCTGGAACACCTGGGGGCAGTGTTGCATCCCGGAGCTCCCGCGCGGGCTGACCTCCACGAGCGTGTCCGCCGGCCGTTGGTGCTCGCTGCTCATCAGAAGCGACGGTGCCGCCGTCGCTTGCGGCGAACTGCGTGACGCGAAAGGGGAGATCCGCGTGGCAAGCGTTGCATTCCGCCGCTGCGCATGGGGATGACCTTGTGCTCGGCATATCATGATAGCATTTATCTGCTGTTCCTCTGGGCCGCGTATGCCGGCGGATTGCCGGGCCTGGTGGCGGAGTAGAAAGAGAATGCTGGAACAGACGTATCGACCCCAGCATGGGAATCCCTGAACTGCGCAATGTGATCTTGGCAGATTTACAAGCGGGTGCACATGGCCAGGGGGGGGGGGGGGGGGGCGCCATGTAGACGTAGTCTTGCCGACTGGAAGACTGATGGGCAGTGCGTCGACTCATGATGCAGTGGATGCCGTTTGGGGCCTGCGTGCGAGGCGCGTGCGAGGCCCGTGCGCGGCAAGCGCGCCCGCGCCGCCTACTGGGGCGTCGAGTGAATGAAGAGCGGGGCCCCACGTGGCGCGAGCTCTTTTGCTAGCTTTTAAATTCCGTTCTGTGCAGCTCTTGCATCTTGCAGTGACTGTGGCGACAATTGACATGCCTCAAAACATCGCCCACCCTTACCTCCGACCTTCCTCTGTCGTCGCGCTCGTGCTCTCCGCGTCAACGGGGCTCTTGGGGGGCCTGGCGAGTAGCATTTCAATCGCATGTGTCTGCGTTTATGCTGCATCAAATTGGGTCGAACCCGCTGGGTGAAGAGTTGCACCTCGTAAAAGATGCAAGCGCTTTGCGCGTCATTTGCAGGGGGCTAAGCCGAAAGAAACAGCTTGCTTTCCACGAGGCGCCCCTCATGCCTCGTGAGTGTATCTCAGGCCCTCGGTCGCATCATTGTCGATCCTTTCTATTGCTTCTGGGACCTCGCCGCAGACTCAAGTTAGACCTCGCCATCTCTCGGGGGCTGCGATATGAGATCCCCGCTGTCGAAGTGGCTAGGGGTGCTCAGGGAATGTCACTAATCAGCTTTATCTAGTCCTTGTCCTGTAGCCAGTGTCCTCCGAGTCTCCCGAATTCCGTCTGCAGACATATGTGGCCCTCGCTCCGTCATCGCCCCCCTTACGAGGCGCCCTAAACTATTTGCGCCCCGCGTTTGCGCAGGGGTTGGGTACGTCACCAGGGTAATTGAGAATGGGGCGGTGAGTGGGGCCCTCCTGATGTGCTGTCCTTTTGAAGGCACGACGGACTCGCTTGAACGCCGGATTCGAACGGTAGGTCTGTCCAGCTTCCTGGTGCTTTGCCTGTTTCTCACCCGGCCTGTCTTTTGCCGCGTTGGCCCAGGGGGAGGGGCGCCTGCAGTGCTCCCGTGCCCGCTTTAGACGCGCCAGCGGTACTTGCTGTACTTTCCGCGTTGAGACCGTGCATTCGATTTCCACATCATTTCTAACTTCCTCTTATTTAGTTTCCTGCAGTTGCCGCTCGTGGTCGTCGTCCTCCTCCTTCCTTTACGCTGGGATGTCCTTCGTTGCGAAGTCGACGACTGCGACGACGACGACGGTGATGTTGACGACGGCGACCACGATGGCGGGCAGTGACGACGACGGCGACGGCGAAGACAAGGTCGGCTGCGATGGCGGCGACGCCGGCGGCGGCGGCGAGGGTCCAGCTGCTGCTGCAGTTGTGCCACCGCGCGGACGCCGCGGCCATGGGGGCGCCCGGGGGTCGCCAATTATACGCTTGCGCCGATGCTGGCCGGTTCCATGATTGACCCAGGATCGGTGTGTACTCCCCCCCTGGCTGGGTTCGTATTTTTATGCTGCCCCGGCGTTGTTTTTTTCACAATCGGGGATTTTGCCCTGTTTCGGGCCCTGTGGCTCTCACGGATCGATCCGGTTCGAGAACAGCCGCAGAAGAATGTGGTTCAGGACCCCTGCTGTATTTTCTTACGGTGCTGTTTCTTTGTCGGTGGGCCCAGGGTCGCTTCGCACGCCTCTCTGGTCTTTTTCAAACGGGTGCCTGCGCGCCGATCCCTTGGGCCCAGGGTCGGGGCTTGGTCAGGGTCGGGGCATGGCTTCGACTACAAGCAGGGGTGACCCTTCGCTGGAGTGACATGCAGTGCGCGGCTCCCTGGGGAAGCGGGGGGGCCAGACCTAACCGCGCGGGCCGCTAGTGCTGCGTCACACGCAGCCAATGGCAAGCCGCGCGCCAGAGGCCACCCTCGCCCCCATCTTGCATGTCGCCTCGGCGTGCGTAGTCGCCACGAAAAACATTTCGAGATTTTACGTCACGAAACACATGCAACATCGTTAAACCTGGACAGGAGTCCTGGACCCAGTCTTTCTGCGTCTTGTTTCTGGCCGGATCAATCTGTGAGGGTCCTGGGGCCCGAAAGAAGGCGTAAGTTCCCGTTGCGAAGAATTGCGACGCCACGATCTCAGGGAAGGAGGGAGGCCTTGTGGGAAATAGAACCCAGACTCCAGGGCTTTCCCAAGGGCCATCTCTTGATTCCGAATCGTCTTGTCGTTCCGAGTAGGCTTCCCACCGCCCACGGGCCCCCCATGGCCCTCCTCGGACCCCAGGGGGCCGAGCGGCGGAAAATCTGCAGAACCCCCTCCCTCCAGGACCCGATCATGACATCTGGCGTCGTCATTTGTTCTTAGCGTGGCCCCAAAGGGGTCCGGACCTTTCTCCTGGGACCGGCTTCCTATCACGAGACTTTTTTGACATCCTTGGGGCCCAGTGAGGGCCCCCATATTGAAAATCGTGAAAAGTTTTCCGTCGTGTTTTTTCACGACGCGAAGATGCTTGGGATTCCTTCGTGTCACGTATCCCAGGGGCAACGCGAAGGGGGGATAGGCTCAGAGGGGGTTGCATCGATACCCAATAGCCCATTCTTCGACGATGAGGACCTGATATCCCACCCCGCCCAGGAATGTGGAAACTCGCTATCGGGGGCCCTATCGCCGATCTTCCTGCGATGTGTCGCCGATTCCAAGTCGATGTCCCCCCCTTGAGCCGTTCCCCCCCTTGACGTTCCCCCTCATCAGAGGATGGCCAGCTGAGACAACGACGGCTCTCCCGCTCCCGCCTTGCCTAAATCTGTTCCCTCTTGGGGTCCTTCCTGACCCGCTTTGCGAGGCGGATCCGGCCGTAGTGACGAGAAGCCCCCAGCCGTGGTGACGAGAAGCCCCCAGAAGGCCAAGGGAAGACGAAAAGTTGAAGGGAGGACCACCGCCGTCTCGACTGCCATCCTACTATCCCGGGCCCCGACGTCGTGTACTTTTCGCAACATGGTTCGTCGGTACCAATTCCAGGAAGGGATCCAGACCTCTGGAGAGCCTCGTTGTTGTCGGCCCCAGGGCCCATCGAGGGCCCTGGACGCCGGAAGATCGGCAAAAGCCTCCCGTCGTGTTTTTTCACGGCGCGGGAAGGTCTGGGACTGCTACCCCCCCTCAGATCTGATTTCCTGCGTCGTTTTTCGAGCCGGATCGATTAGTGAGGGTCCCGGGGCCCGAAACCGGGCGAAAATGCCTGGTGTGAAGAAAGTGCACCGCCCAGATCTGAGGGTCAGTGCAGCCAGTGCCCTCCGCAGGCACTGCCCTACTTCGACATCTCCTGGGCCTTGATCGTCGCCGTGGCGGCCGAGGGCGACCACGGCGGCGGCGGCGCCGCCCTCCTCGAGCACCCAGCGCCGAGCTGCCGCCCACTATGGGGCGCGACGGCGGAACTGACGCGGCTTCTTTCGGAGGACCTCGTTGAGTAGCAAGTCATGTGAGCCTGGTCTGTCCTCGAAGTTCCGATCTTATAGCGCCTCAGCGTGCGTTAGCGTTTGGTACTGGTAATCGACGAGGAGGCGCCGATTTGGCGTCGACTGGCATCGGTGTAGCCTCGATTAGCGTCGGTTAGTGTCGATTCGTGAGAGCCATCAATATGATATGGTAGGCTCCCATGAGTTGCCATAGAAACCTTTGGGGGATCAAGCACATCCAACTCTCGGACGGTAGGACCTTTTCAATCCGGGCGTTATTCTTCGATTTCAGCCCATGAGGTCCCTCATCGGGCCCATGGACAATACACAACAGTTCCAGCCGAAGAACTTCAGAAGGTTTCTGCTTGTTTTCGGCCCCCAGGGGCTCGCCTGCCCGGAACCGTCAAACAACGATTGGTTGAGAAACTGGTCCTGAGCAGTGGGTCGAGACCTCTGGGCTCTGGGGGTCCGCGTTGTGAACAAAAACACGTCGTCGGGGGGCCTCGGTCCCATGTGTAGGCCCCCCCAACTCGGCCAGGGAGGTACATGCACCGATCCTGTGGCCAGGATGGCTCTGGCCTGGGGCGGTGGAACTGCATACATCTCCTCGCCATGATGATGCTGTAGCTGCTGAGGATTTGGATTTGGATGAGGATGAGGATGATGAGGATGATGAGGATGATGATGAGGATGATGATGATGTTGCTGCTGATGATGATGATGATGACGATGTTGATGACGATGATGATGATTTTGACGATTATGCTGATGCTGATGCTGCTGATGATGATGGTGATGTTAGTTTGTCATCATTATCATTATTATTTTATTTTGTTTTTTCAATAGTATCAGTATTCGTATGATTATTTTTGTGATGGTGATGGTGATGGTGGTGGTGGTGGTGGGGATGATGATGTTGATGATGCTGCTGCTGATGATGATGATGATGATGATGATGATGTTGATGATGATGATGCTGATGATGATGATGATGATGATGATGATGATGATGATGATGATGATGATGATGATGATCCCCAAAAGGGTTTACACTTAAGGGTTCTTATTTCTTTTCTACGGAATTCTAGACGCTTCGCGTATCCCCACCACAAAAGGAGACCAGACGTCAACACGCTCGTGGTAGTGGAAAACGTGGCCTCCATGCCTCTGGCACATCGTGAGGCCATGAGAACTGCCATGGGCGATCTCAGCCCGGGATGGGCCGTCAAGATGAACGCAGGAGAACATGTGGCCAGCCCAAGGGAGAGGCTGTGGATGGCAAACTTCCCCCCTCCCTCCAACGCAATAACGTACCATCGGCTTCCCAGCCACTGGGAGCCCAGATGGGCGTACAGGCCCGATGGAAGGATACCCACATGGACACAGTCCAAAGTGGCCCAAGACGATCCAGACGCCATACTACCCAGTAGCTTCCAGGCTCATCTCTTCTGCCTCCTATACAATGAGGACATCACCCACAGATGGTTCCTTCGGAATCCGACGGACCTAAGGCTGGGAGCCGCCCAGATTCTCGCAGAATGCGGAGCTGAGCAACGGTTCGAAGGATGCACGGAGGGCCTCGGACTGGTGATATCGGGGAAGGAAAGGGAGAGCCCTGCTGCAGAGGAAAAAGCCAAGGCATGGGGTAGATGGCTGGTCAAAGAAGGAAGGGCCCATGGGCTCAGACCCCCTAGCGCAGTGGAGAGAGCTCGGGCCACTGGCCTAGCGGAATACTACCGCGGGCTCGGAATAGACGGTATGGCGCTGTACGACGCGGTCGCCATACACTTCGACCCGAGGTGCCTCCAGCGAAGAGTGGTATCTGTGATGCAAGCATGGAAGGCGGGGGATTACAGGGCCATGGCCCGGACCCCAGCGCCCACGGGCGAGCAAATAGCAAGAGGATGGGTGACAGCACGCACCTACGCAGGGGCACAATGCCCGTGGGCCCAGCTCCAGGGCCATCCATTCCCAGACGACATCGCAGAGCAAATGAGACGTGAGGAAGCCCTCCTGCCGGAGATGCAGCGCCCCTAGACTCTGACAGGGACCCCAACTCGTTCCACAGAGCGTTGGGGTCCCCTCCCCGGCACTTACGAGTCCCGGGAATGCGCGCACGCGCCTGGGGAGGACAGGCTCGTCGCGCACTCAACATCGCACTGGAAGAAAGATGCCACCGCAGCATCCGGGCGCCAAGGAGCCTATGGGCGCTGCTACACCATACACCTTGGGCGCACCCCGCGTGGGACGATTCGTGTGGCACCCTGTCCCTTGAAGACGCGATGCGCGCCTTGAGCACCCCCCCCATACTTCTCTCCCCAGGTTCTCTTGCTGGAATGTCAGGTACCTTAGAAGTACTTAGAAGCTGTACCGCTGGCAAGAAGCAAGTCAAGCACGCCTTGCTAACTCAGGTCACTCTGAACAATAGAATCGCCTTCATTCAGGAAACGCACTGGTCCGAACGTGAGGCCCAAGTATGGGGGGCCATGTTCCCGGGGAGGGCGGTGGTCGCCTCCCCGGGGTTCCTGGGGCCCACTGGAGAGCTGGCCGGTGGGGTGGGGATTCCTCCTACCACACGGACCCCCCCTCCTGGACCAGTAAGACGTGGTGCCGGGTTGCGCGGTTGCAGCGATTGCGCAGCAGGGCGAAAGGAGAATCCGCTTTGTATCCATTTACATCCCCCCCACCAGGAAGGAAGAAACCCTGGCAGAGATCGCATCGGCTGCGAGACAAGGGGAGCCCCTCGAGACCTACTGGGGAGGGGGCGTCAACCTGCAGCTCCAACGCCCGAGGGGCGGGGAGGTGGAGGCCGCTGCCCTTTCGAGGGACATCCTCACCAGCTCCGGCTCCGTCGCCATCCACATGCACGGCCCGCCCAGGTTTGACAAGGAAAGTGAATCTCACATCGACATCTGCGCCTGCCCAATCAATCGCATCCATGCATGCGACCCCCGGAAGCTGTGGCGGCTCACACTTTCTGATCATGCCTTCATCTCCCTCGACCCCCAGGGCGCAAGGAGAGCCAGAAGGGACGACGCCATGAGGGCGGCATATTTGAGGAAACTCCCAACAGCCGCGCACGTGGAGCTGCGCAGCATCTACGCAGATCTGGAGATCCTCTTCGGTGTTCCAACCGTCAACCTTTGCGGCCTAATCCAGCCCTCGGACTGTATCAGGCCGGCTCGCCCTGGAGGCTTCCCCGACCACCGCCCGGACAACGACGGCGGCGACGCCTCTCGCTTGCCCAGCGACCCCGCCCCAACTCCAGGGGGTCCCGAGAACCGCGCTCTCCCCCCCCCTGTCCTTCCCACCCTTATGCGATTCGGGGGGCACGCCCTCGCCTCGGCCCTACAGGACTGGTGGAAAAAGTGGAAGTCGCACAGAGCACGCGCCTCAATGGGGGCGCTACTGGCGGCAGCCAGCCAAAGACAACAAGTCACGCGCCCGGTGGGGGCCCTGGCTGCTTGGCTATGCGAGTTTGGATGGGGCGGACGCGACCTTACCCCAGAACAGGCTGGGCTCTGGCTCAAGACTTGGGACACGGAGGTCACGCAGCGGAGGGCGATGCACCTATCCCCCGCCCAGCGAGGCCCCGGGGCAGAGCGCCCCCCCCTCGCAGCCCACTACAGGGCGGGGCGAGACATACTACAAAAACCACGCCATTCTAGGGGTAAGGGGCCGCGATGGAAATTGCCGCGGCAGGCCCAACCAGGTTGACAAGGTGCATTGGGGCAGCCGCTGCTCGATTTGGCACGCCGCCCCCCCCCCTAGTTCTGCCGGCTGGCTCCTCGACCAGTACTTCTTGGAGCACCCCGGCACCGACGTGCCCAGTCGTCCTGCTCCGTGTTGGGCAATGCTAGCTACCACCGTCCTCACCCCCGGCGGGAGCGCCCCAGGGGTCGACGGGGTCCCATACGACGCCTTTCACCCAGGCGCAAGGTTCGTCGCCTGCCTCCTCGCCCAGGCATGGTACGCAACGGACCTCAACCCGAGCCTCATGGACGAAGTACTGGGGCCCTCGGTCGATCTCCTGGTATGGATTGGGAAGAAACCAGGCGCTGAGGGACCCAGCGACGCGTGGCCGCTCCAACTCCCCACCTGCATACGGCGTCTCTACGGAGCATCCTTGGCCGACCTTATGGGCCCCATCGTCGAACCGCGCTTGAGTCCCAATCAGGCAGCCAAGAGAGGGGGACAGTGTGGACCCAACATCACCAGGGTCACTCAGCACCTAAGTGCTACCCCCAGACCACCAACCGCACCGGGTCCTAGTTGGGCCGCGCTACTAGGTCAGCATCATGCGGTGGTGGAAGAGTACATCGAGCGCATCGCCGCAACTTTGGGCGACGCCCCCTGCGCTGCCGTCATCTTCTGCGCTCAGAACAAAGCGTTCGAAAGGATCTCGCTCCAATGGGTCGATGCCCTGCTACAAAGATGGAGACTCCCCTCATGGTTTCTCAACGCCCTAGAAACCTTGGTTATCGAACGAAAGGTTAAGACGTGTAAGGGCAAGTACAAAGGGCCAGACGCCTCCTGCTCAGATCCGTCGGCATGGGCGGCACCGCCTCCCCCCTCCTGTGGAGTCTGGGCTGCGACCCCTCATTAGCGCCATTGCATCCATCGCAGGAGAGGACGATCCCACTTACGTAGACGACCTCGCCGCTCTTGTTAGCGCAACAAGACAGGCTCTTCGCGCAGCAATCGCACTCCCCTGGGCTGCCGAGGCCGCCGGGCTCCTGGTCGAGGCGCGCAGATGTCGGGGGGCGCGCGCCTACGACTCCCCCGACATCCGCGCGGCGTTGGATGAGGTCCCCGTGCACTTTGAGCAGGACGGGGACTGCGTGCTCATCTCAGGGCTCCCTGCACTCTTGACCCAGGCTCTGATCAACAGCTGCATGGGAGAACGTGGTCCTATACGGTGCACGCACTACCAACGCATCTGTAACTGCGCTTTCAAAACAGCGCTCGTGCCCGCGGGAGACCAAGGGTGGTGGCGCTCA